TGCATTGCACGGCGTCAGGTGTGACCTGAGAGAATCTCCATCCCTCCCCAGCTATGCTCTCGATGAGCGAGCGCCATCAGAGCTCCGGGAGATGCTCATAGCCAGAATCTGACACTTCAGGAGAGACCCAAGGTCATTCCTGTGAGTGGAGTGGCCCCCCAGAGAACATGCGACGGCACGGCCAGTTCCTGGGCATCAGAACGTCAGTCACAGAGGGAGGGGCTCCAGGAAATGGATTTATGGGCATCTGCCAATGCCCAGCTCGGCCCCATGACTTACTGCCTAAGACCCGAGGAATTTAAAACCCCTCCTTCCTGGCTCTGGCCTCTCCCCTCCTTTTACATCCAGAGTGACCGTCCCCTTCAAGCTGCGGGCCCCGGCGTCCACCCACCTCTCCATCCAGTGGGGACGATGGGAACCTGCATCAGGAATGACGCGTGTTAAAGACTGAGTGCCCGGTGGGGCAAAGAGCCCCTGCTCCCTGGGCGGCAGCCAGCGTACCCGGGCACGATGTTCACCAAAAAGACCCCACGGCCAGGACGTCTCTGCCCCCCGCATCTTGTCCTCACACGCCCCTCCCTGTATGACAACTGGACGTTAGACCTTCCAGAATGTCTCTCATTGCCTTTCCCTGTCTTCCTCACTCTCTCCTCCCTCTCTGCTTCTGGACATCTGATGAGCAGCTGCGGAGGACACAACGGTGACACGTGTCGGGGCAGATCTGCTTCTCCAAACACACAGGGGCTGGAATCCTTACCTCCAAAACCACGAGGGCCTATTGGAATGGAGCTGCTGGGGGCAAGAAGGGTTCAAGTCAATCCTCCCAGGTATCAGCCAGAGCTCTCCAGGGAGACAGACCCATCGGATGTGTACACACACACACACACGCACTCGCACACGCATGCACGCACAGATTTATTTTAAGGAATTGGCCCATGCGATAGTGGGGCAGGCCGGCGGCGGGAACACTAGGCGGGGTCTCCGTGTTACAGTGTGGAGGCAGAATTCCTTCTTCTTGGGAACCCCAGTGTTTGCTCCCAAGGACTCCGACTGATGGGATGAGGCCCCCACCCCATGATGGATGGCTCATCTCCTTGACTGAGTCAACTGCAGATGTGAACCACACCTACACGGCACCTTCATGCACCGGCGCCTAACACAGCGGACACCACAGCCCACCTGCAGACGGCCGTTCCTCTGTCCCCCACCCCAGCTGTACTCCCCCTTCACTTAGACCTTCCACCTCCGCAGAATTCCTTCCTTCCCATTTCTCTCTATCTTCAGAACCAGGACAGGTTTGCTCCCTTGGACTGAGCGATCCAAAAAGCAAGGAATCCCTGATGCTGTGCACTCCATCTCAGGATGCAAGATGAATCACAGGCCAGAAGGATGTGCCTGCCTCACCCCAGACCACAGAGCCCCGGACTGGTGGTCAGAAGGCCTGGGGCTCACAGACTTGGCCACTAACTGATTCAGGACTCCTAGGCTTAACATCTCTAATTCCATGTGTCCTATAAATTGGGCAAAAAAATGCCTACTTTGTTGGGTTGTTGAACATTAAACGAGAACATACAAAAGAGCATTTGTGAGCTTTAAGATTCTGTGCAACTGGGGACTTCCCAGGTGGGCCAGTGGGTAAGACTCCACGATCCCAATGCAGGAGGCCTGGGTTCGATCCCTCGTCAGGGAACTAGATCTCACACGCATGCCACAACTAAAAGATCCCACATGCCGCAACTAAGACCCAGTGCAGCCAAATAAACAAACAAACAAATAAATATTTTCTAGAAAAAGATTCTGTGCAACTGGGAATTCATCATCATCACTATGACCATCAATACCCTAATCACCATCAATTCCACCACCATCATCATCAATGTTATGGACTGAATTGTCTCCCCCAGAATTCATAAGTTGAAGCTCTAACCCCCGTTGTGATGATATTTGTAGATATAGGACCTTTAGAAACGTAACTAAGTTCAAATAAAGTCATAAGGGTGGGGCCCTAATCAGATGAGATTCTTGTTCCTACAAGAAGAGGAAGGAACACCAGAAAGCTCTCTCTCTTTCTCTCTCTCTCTCTCTCTTTCTACATGTTGCACAGAAGAAATACCAATGAGTAGGTGCAGGAAGAGAGCCCTCACCAGAAACCAGATCTGCCAGCACGTTGACCTTGGACTTGCAGCCTCCAGACTGTGAGGAATAAATGTCTGTTGTTTAAGCCCCCGAGCCTGTGGTACTTTGTTATGGCGGCCCGGGCTGACTCAGTCACCATCATCACCACCGTCACCACCATCACAATCATCACCACCGTCACCACCGTCACCGCCGTCACCGCCGTCACCACCGTCACCATCATCACCGTCACCGCCGTCACCATCATCACCACCATCACAATCATCACCACCGTCACCACCGTCACAATCATCACCACCGTCACCACCAATACCACCATCACCACCGTCACCACCATCACCACCGTCACCACCGTCACAAGTAATGTTGTGAGTACTCCCCCTCTTCCTTCAGAAATTCACCTCTGTCTCTCTTGATTCTCAAACCTGAGTGGATGTCAGGGACTCTAGGGGGCTTGTGAGAACACAGGACCCGAAGCCCTGCCCCCGAGCTTCAGATTCCGGGTGCCGGAACGGATGCCTGGGAATCTGCATTTCTCTCAAGTCCCTGAGTCCTGCTGCTGCTGCTCCAGCCTTTGGATTAAATCATTAAGCAAAGCTTGGCCAGATGAAGTCTGTCAAATATTCCAAGCTTTCTTAGAAAAGCCCACGCCCACAACAGCAGCTGAATATCATCAAAGCTTCCCAGGTGGACATACTGGATCCCCGTTAAATGATGGGGCAGGCCATCATTCCCCCCGAAATCAATGGTGTTGATTCATCACTGGGAGGGGAGGACCGTGAACGCTGGGGACATTTTACAGGCAAGGCTCCAAAGACTGAATTAAGTCTCTTTGTGCCATGAAAACACGAGAAGGCGGGGAGACATGAGGGGGAGACCGGCTCCCGGCACATGCAGTCGGAGCCCGTGCTGGGCGTGCAGAGCCAGCATCCCAGGCTCTGGTTCCCCCCGTTACATGAACAGTGTCTGCAGGGCACAAAGTCCTATTATTCAAGCGTGTTTGCATAATTGTCTTCCTGAATCATTTGGGGCACTTGATTGATTATCGTTAGCAAAATAGAGACAGATGGCCTTGGGTCTGAGCTGGTGCGAATTTGCTGCCAGGAGGGTGCACGAAGCTTCCTGCCAGGCCTCCTGGAAGAAGGGGTGTCCCTGCCCTAGGTGGTCGCTGCCCGTGGTGATGGGACAGGAGTGGGGACTCACAGGGAGGTCACTGACAGTGGCATTCTGTCCTGGACGCCGTGCACAACTCACTCCCCTGGAGCGCCAGGTGGCGGTTACAAACCTCTGCCCAGAAAGGGAGAAACAGCTCTCTTCTATCATCTACGCCTTTACCATGAATCAAAGGGCATTAGCTGCTCTTTTCTAAGCAATTTAAGCACTGTTCTGACTTCAAAAAAAAAAAAAAGGACCAAAGAAAGGTATTATTTAATGGCAACAAAATATTTAAACCAAGGCCACCAACCCACTGCTGAGCCCCAAAGGGCAGATGTGTCTCAGCACGAAGTGGGAAGAGCCCACGGCTCCCTCATCATCACCACTGGAAAGAGAACAGGCTTTTGGGGAGAAACCGTAGTCTTTACAGACACAGCAGGAACTCACTTCCATGACCCATTTCCCATTACATATCTTCAAGCCACGGATTCAGAGTAAAATCCAGGCCCGTCAGTTCTCATGAACTGAGCAAAGTGGTTAATGATGATTGTTAGACATCCAGCCCAGTCTGGGGATTGAACCGGTTCGTTTTCAAGGCATCAAGCTCGTCTGTATTAGTAAACATCTAAGGAGAGGATTAGTCAAGTCGCCCGCGGAAGCCAGGTCTAAATGAAAGACCTCTCTCAGCTCAATAAGATGTAAAACTTATTTCCAAATAAAAAGAATCGCAGTCACCTCAACGTTCAGTTCGAGCGGAGAGGGCTGTGTGTAGGATGAGAAAGCATTTCTATAACTTTGAAAAAGTTAGAGCCAAAAAAACAAGTTTTTCCACCCTAAACCATCTGGCCAGCTGCCTCCAAGTTCCATGAGCCCCATGTTTATAAAATGGGATATTAGCCAAAAAAAGGGATGAAGGAGCAATACACACAACACAGATGGACCCTGAAAACACACAGCTGAGTGAAAGAAGCCAGACACAAAAGACCACCTATTGCACGATTCCATCCCCACGAAATGTCCAGAAGTGGCCTGTCCACAGGGCAGAGAGTGGATGAGTGGTTGCCTAGGGGCCACAGGAGGGAGGAACAGGGAGGAACTGTCGGTGGGTACAGTTTTCCTTGGGGTGATGAAAAAGTTCTTAACTACACAGAAGTGATGCTACCACATCGTGCATGTGCTGCAAGTCACTGAATTGTACGCATCGATATGACTACGACGGGACATTTTGTGTAATATGTATTCTACCACAGTTTAAAATATCAGGACCCTGGCTTCTCACTCCACCATGTAACCCCACGGCCACCCTGGACCGGGTCGTTCACCCTTCACCGAGGATAGCAGGCCGGGTGAGGGCACCAGATGATGGCAAGCCAGCTCCCTGCCGGTAGATTCTTACCAAGATCTCCCCATTCCCAGGATCAGCACGAAGCCAGGACTGCCCCACAGCTGCTGCAGTGAACGGCATCCACGTCTCTGCTGCCTTTCCCAAGCTGCCTTTGTGAATCGCCCACCTGGAGGCATCGCTGCATTAGCGATGCTGTTTGGTCTAACTGGAAGGAAGCCAGCGTGGACTGGCAAACTGAAATAGGGCCGCAGCTCCACACACAGACCCCGTCCCCGACGAAAGGGCTGAGCTCATGTCAACACACACAGAGGGTGTGTGGGAACGCGACGACACGGCGTCTCAGGGGTTTGCTCAGTCCGCTTACCTGGAATGGGGTCTGGCTGTTGTAGTTCTTCAATTCCTTATCTCCACCCCGAAACAGCAGCACGCGTGCACAGCTGTCCTGCACAGAAGGAATAAGAAATCTGTTTGTAAAGCGGTGGCACAGGCATCCTCTAGAGAAGCCTGTTCACAGGGCGATCTCACAAGAATTCAGAGAAACGAAAACGCAAAGTCAACAGGAGGGCATTTTTGTTTGTCAGAGGGGCCAGAAGGAGGGTGGACAGGCCCTGGATGCTGTCAGCTGAAGCTTAACTGCTGCAAAGACTTTGGAGAGCAGCTCAGCAGAATCCACAAAAATTTCAAATCCATCCATCCCACGGCTAGTGATTCCACTTTTCTAAGACCATCTACAGAGAGCTTTGCACGTGTGTATAAAATACATAATAATAGAAAGGCTGCAAGTAAAATACAAAAGGAGAAAAAGGAAGAGAGAACCTGGAGATGGCAAAAATGTTCTAAAATAAAAGGAAAGTGGGAATCATTCTGGAACATTCTTTTCTTCTTTTTTCCAAAACAAACAACTTTTTCTGGAAGTTGAATTGATTTACAATGTTTCAAAGTACAGCAAAGTGATTCAGTTTTACACATATATGTATATTCTTTTTCAGATGCTTTTCCATTATAAGTGATTACGAGATATTGAATATAGTTCCCCGTGCTATACAGTAAGTCCTTGCTGTCTATATTTTATCTATAGTCATCTATATATGTTAATCCCAAACTCCTAACTTGTCTTCTTTCCACTTGGGTAACCATATGTTTGTTTTCTATGTCTGTGAGTCTCTCCCTGTTTTCTAAATAAGTTCATTTGTGTCATATTTTAGATTCCACACATAAGCGGTATGATACGTCTTTCTCTGTCTGACTTACTTCACTTAGTATAATCATCTCTGGGTCCATCCGTGTTGCTGCAAATGGCATTATTTCATTCTTTTATGGCTGAGTAAGAGTCCACTGTATATATACCACATCTCCTTTATCCATTCCTGTGTCAGTGGACGCTTAGGTTGCTTCCATGTCTTGGCTATGGTCAATAGTGCTGCTGTGAACATTGGGGTGCATGTATCTTTCTGAATAAAATGCAGTTTTGTCTGGATATATGCCCAGGAGTGGGATTGCTGGATCATATGGTAGTCCTATTTTTAGATTTTTAAGGAACCTCCATACTGTTCTCCGTAGAACATTCTTTGCCGAGGCAGTGGTAGCAAAAACAAGAAGACAGACCGATATAAACTGACAAGAAAAATACCCAAGAACGTCTAAGTAGAAAACGTGAGTCTGAGAACAATGATATAGCTTAATTTCACTTACATTTTAAAGCCAGTATTATAGAAAGCAAAGAATATGTCTGGAAAGATGTTACCAGTTAAGGGTTTTTACTTTCTCAGGAAGGAAAAGGGATGACAGAGTAAATCTTTTGTTATTATTACTTTCTGTACTTACATTTTCTAACGTTTTTCAAAGGCAGCCAATAGTCATTTCTTGTGGATTTGTACAATGAAAATCAATCTATTCCTGTCCACTTATTGAGCATCTACTATTCACCCGGAGAGGTCAACCCTTTTGAAACTCCTAATGGGGAGGGTGGGGACAAATACCCACAGGTAAAAAGACACGCGGAAGGGAGTTCCCTGGTGGCCTAGTGGTTAGGATTCCGGGCTTTCACTGCCGTGGCCTGGGTTCAATCCCTGGTCGGGGAACAGAGATCCCGTAAGCTTCCTGGTGCAGCCAAAAAAAAAAAAAAAAAAGACAAGTGGAAGCACATGGCTATAGAAACAGTGGCGATATGAACACCTTGCCTAATAGATGTAGCTGGGCTGTTATGATGGGCAAATTACATTTGGAAAGAGCGCCCGTATGATCAAGTGCCCGCAGGTGCCGGTGCCTCACGCAGCTGGGCCACTCCAACTTCTACAGGTCTCTGCACAGGGGCTCCAGTGCAGGTCGTGGTTAAACCCCAGCCCTAGGCCCATCTCCCTGGTCCACCTCCACCTACAGAGTCCAGAGCAGAGGCAACGGGCGTGGTCACCCAGGGCGGACATGCGGCAACTGCTGAGTGAGGAGCAAATGAAGCCACTCACCAGGGTCCCCCCAGGGGCCTGCTTACGGGGCCAGGCCAACAGCCCCACCCCAGCCCAAGGGGACCTGCTGTCCCGGGAAGACTAGGGCCGAGGCCAGGGCACATGGCACGTGCCGGAGGACCTGGAGCAAGAGGAGGCCTGAGACGAAAGCTGAAAATCCAGAGACTGAAGGCGGGTGAGCGGTGCCCAGGGAGGGTGGGAGCTGGGGAGGGGTTTGCGGTGATGAAAATGTTCTATTACTGACCGTGGGGAACGGTTACCCAACTGTGTACACAGACTGAAAAACACTGATCTGTATATTTTAGATGGGCAAACTGTATGGTGTGTGAGTTATGTCTCAATAAAGGTGTCATGTATTAGAAAAGTAAGAGAGATAGAGACAGAGTCAGAGACCAAGAGACCACAGAGACCGAGGGAGACAGAGAGATAGACAGAGACAGAGAGACCAAGAGAGACACAGAGACCAAGGGAGACACAGAGAGAGACCAAGAGAGAGACAGAGACCAAGAGAGACACAGAGATAGACACAGAGAGAATAAGAGAGACACAGAGACCAAGGGAGACAGAGACCAAGAGAGACACAGAGACCAAGAGAGACACAGAGATAGAGAGACCAAGAGAGACACAGAGACAGAGACCAAGGGAGACACAGAGATAGACAGAGACAGGGGAGCACGCCTGCTGAGAATGCCGGCAGGAAGATCACTCTCTGACCGCGAGGTCCAGCCAAGAGCACATCTGGGTCAGGCAAAGCACAGCTGGGGCGGCCCTGGTCCCTGTGACCTGGGCGAGGGCCCCCCTGGGGCCTCCACTGCACGATGATGACTTTAATGAGGAAACCACTTGTGCACGCAGCACACAGGAGCCGAGGCGGAGGGACTCTTCTTCCCTGAGCCGCGGTCAGGGAGGCCTCGGACAGGGCGGGAGCTGCTCGCACACCCCGCAGCCGGGGGTGGGGCATATCTGAGCTCTGCAGGGAAAGACTATTGTCGGGCTGCGGGGGTCCCGGGGCCTCAGCTGTACCCCTGGGTGGCTGTGGGGGTCACTGCAGACTTAGGGGCGCTTGCTGCACGGGCCTGGAGGAGGCTGTCTTCGTGGACCGCTGTGGGCAAAGAGGGGGCCCGGGGACCACGTCGGGGTGGATCCCCGAGAAGGGGCAGAGGGACATGGGGCTGTCAGCAGTGATGACAGCCCCCGTGGGGTGGCGTGCGTGAAGAACACCTGAAGATAGAGGTTAGGAGAGAAAAAGACAGTGGAAGGAAACACTCGCCAGGAGCCCCACTGTGTCCTGAAACAGCCGTGAGTGTGAGTTCCTGCCCGGGTTCAGATGGTGGGCAGGACCCGCACCACAATATAGGGGTGGAAATTGCAGGGAAACCTGAGACTCTGTCTACACTGTTTGCACCTTTTCCATGAGCGTGTGTTCATGCAGTGCTTTGAGTAACTAAAAGCATTTAAGAAAATTTAAAAAGACGTACTATGCGTGGCAAACACACCTTTCATATCTGGGGTAGAGTGAAACCCAGGGTTTAAAAGAAGAGTCCCAGGCGTTACTTCAAGTGGACTGAAGGCCGGTGAAGCCCGCTCCCGGGTCTTGTTATTTTATTCCAGTCTCAACTCCCGCTTGGCTGCTTCTGTAGATCAAGTCCTATTCAAACACAGACCCCTGAGCGTTCCAGTCCTGCCCCAGCCTCCCTACCCCTGGCTGGGTTTCCAGAACCCGCTCCAGCATCCCTTTCTCCCCTTGAGTTACACCTAGCTGGATCTTGTTAATTACAACCCAAAGTAAATTAATTTAATTAATTAAAATGACCATGCTATCATGCCTCAGCAAGCAACGTTTGCAATGAGAGAAAAAAAAGCCGAGGATGTTTGAAAGAGTCCTGGCACGGAGGGAACACAGAGCCAGGAGATGGGTGGAACTTTGGCAGGTTACGTTTGGGGTGTGGGCGTGCAGGTGAGAGAGAAGAAAGAGTGAATTCCTGAGGCAGCAAGCGGGGGAAACCCCACCAGGGGCTCAGGGGACCTGAAGGCTGCCTGGGGGTCTCACCCTGAAACGAATTCACACTGGGCCTAAGTGTGCCCTGGCCCGACTCCAGGGCAGCCTGGGAGGACCAGCCAGCTGAGCATCCTCAGATGCCCAGAGCTACCTGGCCTATCAGGACCCCGAACAAGAGCCTGACTCGGCAACTCCTTGGAAACGCTCCCCAACGCTCAGCAAGGGCCTCCACTGAAAATTCCCATCAGAAAGGAGGTTGGTTTCCTATGAAGCTAAGAATAAATCATTGCCAGGCAATGCCAGGCACACGCTCCCGGGAGGAATCCAGCCAGGATACCAGAAGACTCCTCTGCTCACCCACGGACGCACAACTCTGAGTCAACATGAACCAACCTGAAGGTACACACCCCCTCACTCTAATATTTACCAGACTTCAAAGGGAGAGCACGTCCTGGAGAGCGATTTCAAAACTGAAGGGCATGTGTGTGTGTGTGTGTGTGTGTGTGTGTGTGCGCGCGCGCACACAGGCACATGTGTGTCTGTGCACGTGAGCAAGGTGCGTGTGCGTGCACATGTCTGTGCACGCGTGTGCACATGTCTGTGCATGCGTGCGCACACGTGTGTGCGTGTAAGTACAGGCGCGTGTGTGCGTGTGTCTGTGTGCATGCACGGATGCTCTGCAGTTCAGAAAACACATCTACCCGCTCCTTGATTCCACCCTCACAGCGTCCCTGCAAGGGGCTAGTAGGAGGCCCATTTCACAGGTAAGGCAGCAGAGGCCAGGAAGGGTTAAGTGAGAAACTGCGGCTTCAGAAAGGGAGGAAAAGGAGAAGTTGTGACCCAGAGGCGTTGCTAATGGAAGCCTAGCTCCTCCCTTGCATGGCCGCTAGCTGCCCGAGTTCCCTTGTGAGGGAGGTGTGTCTTTGTCCTTTTAAACAAGTCCATCAAGTACAGATACAATCTGTGTGTTCTGAGGGCCAA